TGAATGCCTCAACTCTCTATCATACCCAAACACAAGTCAGATATTGCAGGGAATCTAGCTGATGTTCCCCAGTTCAGGGCCAACCAGTGCCAACAGAAGCCAGAAACACAAAGCTTCTTACCTAACTGAGCCAGCTGCTAGAATTGGGTCACTCACAATGCAAGCATGGCACAGGGAAACTCCATTTCTTCCGTGTATTCTTTAGCCTTAGCATGAGTAACAGTAGGGTGACAATATCTCTTCTCCAGCTATACCACTGATAATTTACCCTGTGCAAGGTGGTTTTCTGCCCCATAGGTTTTCTATCCTACCTAATGTCACTTCACTACATACCTGCGCGTTCCAGCCCCTAGATTTCATTGATAAAATTCAATACAGTGACCTCCTTCATGACAGAGGCTGAAGATTACACCATGGAATTTGCACAGATTTGAAAATGCAATGGTATATTCAGGTGTACAGTGTAGTATGTGCTAAAGCGCACAATATATGTGCTAAAATATTCCAGAGAGACAGCTTGGCTTAATACTGGAAGATTTATCACAGTCCCTGTTGAAAGCAGAGGTGGCACAGCAGAGAGGCTGCTGTTCTTCACAGCTTCATTTAGAAGCCTGAAGGCCTTAAAAGTTAAGACTGCAAATATTTAAATACCTAAAGTGAAAACAGTACATCTTCCAGAGGTTCTGAGCATTTAAACTGTAGCTTAGGAATGTAGCTATCTTCCCCAGTATACAAGAAAACATCATCATATTGTAGTTTTGGGTTATTGGAACCAAAGTCCCTTTATTTTGTCATTTCTACCCTCATTCTGAAAAGGTTAGCATTATTCATCTACAAACTTGTTTTTGTCTCTGCAATTCAAATGCAAGGTATTTATTTTGTCCATTCACCACCCCACCCCCCCAACTTCCTGCCTTGAAAATGGAATTTATCTGTGTCTTTCACATTAGTCTACAACATTTTCCATCTTACATTACAAAGATTTGCAGTTAAAGGGGAAAATGCTTTGCTTGTGAAAAATAAGAAAAGGAACAAATATGTCTCTTGCCCAAAAATTCTAAAAATCCTACTTATATAAACAATGTCCCATTTCCAAAGCACAGAGATTTTTCTGAGTTCAGCAAACAGACTGTGCTGCATTTACACAGACTCATGTTCATTCATCACTTTCAAGTCTAATTACCAAGCCATTTCCCTCTTGGCAACCTCTAATGGCCAGAAGAATTAGGTTTTACATGGTCAGGATACCAAGGGATAACAAATACCCATAACTCTTTGCAGCTGTGCAATTTGTAAAGCCTCTCAAGCTTTGTCTGGGCAAGGGACTACTGCAAGGCAAACTTTCCTCCTCATGCGCTGCTATATCTGGACAAATGCTACAGGTCTCACTTGAGCGCAGCCTCTCATACAAAGTCATAACAACATCTTTCGAAAGTAAATAAAAAACAGCCATAACCTACTCATGGAAGCACATGCAAATACAAACCACAGAGTGGTGGGAAATGCTCTGCGCATCATGTCATTCACCTCTCCTGGTGCACAACTGCTCCTGGCTGCATGTTAATCCACAAAATGCCCATTCTGCCTTAAAGATATAAAGTGGTACATTGCTGGAGCTTCTCCCGTACGACTGACTGGCAGCAAAGGAGAAGTCTCTATGAAAAGCCTTTCCAATCTTCATTAGTTTCTCCTATCTCAATCATTTTTCCTACTCAAAACTCATTGTGACATGTCTAACTTTCTACCATCTTTTCTTCTGCAGGTTTATCTATTCGTTCCAACCAGTTATAGTGAATGCCTCCCTTTATCTTTATAGCCAGTCCATTCAGACCCTAATTTTTTATTTTCAATTCTTTCTAAACACCCTCAACATAGACCAGATGAAGAGAGGAAAGTAAAAAAAAAAAAACCTCCCAAGAGCACTAGAAGTGCATTGTAACAGGACGAAATGCAGAACTGGATACAGCTAAAATTATCTTCAAATTCACTGCCACGTTGTGACACTGAACTATTTTTCTTCAGAGATGCAGGATTAGATTTTTATATTTCTCTTTAAGGCTGGTATGTATACAGCCCACATTTTTAATTCCTGATTAATATGTATTAGTTTGTTGCCTACAGGCCAAATGGGGAGAGAGGTGGGGACAGACAAGAAGAAAAACCCTGGAGCTTATTTCATATAGAAAAAAACATATGGAACTTCTAAGATGCCTGGACAAGAAATAGTCTTTTTAAAAATAATAGATTTTAACACTGAACAATGCCAATTAATGTAATTTTTGCTGACTTCAAGGTATTATTTCTTAAAACTAATAAATGAATACACATACATTTTGTAAAATTGCTACATGAGACAGTTATGTTAGGAAGAGTGTTAGACGTATTACAATTAAGGAGTCATGGCTTGGGAATGTCTAATAAATAAAACACTGGGGCATACAGTGGTAGGACAAGGGGTAATGGGCTCAGACTTAAACAGGGGAAGTTTAGGTTAGATGTAAGGAAGAAGTTCTTTACTGTGAGGGTGGTGAGGCACTGGAATGGGTTGCCCAAGGAATCTGTGAAATGCTCCATCCCTGGCAGTGTTCAAGGTCAGGTTGCATGGAGTCTTGGGTGACATGATTTAGTGAGAGATGTCCCTGCCCATGGCAGGGGGGTTGGAACTAGATGATCTTAAGGTCCTTTCCAACCCTAACTAGTCTATGATTCTATATTTGAATGCAATCAGTGTTTGCCATAGAGTAATGGTTTGTGCAGCGACAGAGACTCCGCTATAATATTAATTACAAAGTCAGCTTGTAGGTGGCTGCTGCTGAGAAAGGACTGTTAGTGACCTCTACAGAAGGTCAGAAGCAAAACATCTGTGTTTTAAACCCACAAGCTTTGGTCAAATCTAAACAAGCAATAAAGGGTTAATGAATACTTAGCAAAGTGCTTTGAAGATGAAAAGCATTAAGCAATTTCTGACTGTTATTTCACACCTGTATTTCAGATCTGAACTACGCATAAAATTGCTCTCACAACTTCATAGTTTAGGCTTCTCCATACCTCTGGACATGTCCCGTTAGGATCAGGAGACATTACCTATCCAGGAGATCTGGGATACAGCATTTTATGCACAAAGCTCACAGAATCCTAACAAGGATTTAAACCTAGAGGAAAAACTTTTACAAAGCTGTATCACATAGTGATACAGTCAAGTGTGATACAGTGATCACCACCAAGGTGGAAAAATCTAATTCAACCAACAGAGGGAACAGGGAGACAATATAAACAGGTGTTTCCTTGAAAACTCCAGTATGGTTAGTAATACTACAGGAAATGGATCTCCAGAGGCCACAAATTGTTAGCATCCCTAATGCGTTTGCAAATTCCTACTGTGCAAAGTCAGCCTGTAAAAAAAGGCCATTTTTAATAAGTGCCTTGTCTGGTTTCCTACACCATTTAATTTCAGATGAATTTTATGAAGACTCTGCTACATATTTTACCTCCCATCTGGTTCAGATTTGACAATGAAATATTTGTGTCCCACCCTGTTCTTTTTAAAGCTCCAAAACCAGATGTCTCCAGCACAACATGACTGCAGCAGGTCATACCACATTCTTCAGCAAGCTGTGCCAGGCCTACTACCCCCACAGATGGTTCCAGGTAAGGTAAAATTCTGTTGCTTACTCCTTAAAAGAATAAAGCAAACAAACTCAACACCTCTAGGGCACTGTGTGAAAAAAGACTGAGTAAAATATATTATGGCTTTTTCTTCCAAAAGTTTTTATCTTGAAGCGGTGTTTCTGAAAGCTAAACACATTCAGAATTACAGCAGAGGGAGATCTCCCTCTCCCCCTCCCCCCCCGTTGGCTTGATTCCAGCACATATTTCTGCAACTTCTCTGTTGTGATAAGCAGGCAGGTGTTTCAGAGCATAGTGCTGAGTGGCTGGCATTTCAGGAAGTTACAAATTTCACACTTGCATACATGGCATATGAGAAGGATGCTGATGAAGACGTATTCTATGAGAAAATGTGTTTATTTCTTAGCAGTTTCACAGGGCAGCTCTGTGCTACATATGATGCCACCTCCTGTAACACAAACAATTTATTTGTGTTGATGAAATGTCAGAACAACACCTTTTATCCTTTCCTGCTGATACAAACATCCCTTTTGCAACACAAAAGAATTTGTATGGATGCCAAGAGAGCTTCTTTTGCAGAAAAAAGATGAAGTTGTGATGCATCTTTAAACTGGACAAATAATTTCTGCATGCACAGATTTGATATTTTAATGCAAACCAAAACATAAGCAGGTACTTGCTCACAAGTAGTGGTATTTTATAACAACATTATAAATATTATAAGAAGGTATCCCCCAAGAAAGACCACTAACCAAGCCTGTCAAATCTTAAATGCTACAGTAGCAAGTAAAACCAGGTATAATCTTCCTCCAGACGAGCTAAACATCTCTCAGTATCATTACAAAGCAGGATATTAAAAAAAAAATAACAAACACATTATTAGCTGCTTGCACAACAACCCCCTTTTAATGTCACACATGAAAGCACCTAAAAATGTTCCCAAATCTCTTCATGAAGTTCTTCCCAGTCTGGCAAAATGTTTTAATGTAAGTGGCTATGAGTAGCCTCCATGGAAATTCCTTTCATATAACATATGATCATACTGTTTGCTTGATGGAGACACTATATTAGGCCAGTGCACCAAGCCTGGGAAAAAAAAAAAAAAAGGAGTTCTTTGCTAGAAATAAATGCAAGCTAAAACCACAGAAAAGAGCCAAATGGCATGAGAACCAGTAGAATCATTCCTAATGAGATGAGAAAGGAAGAACTCTACCAGCTTACCCGTTTATGCCAAGTTAAATATGCTCGAGTAGAATTGACAAATACTGTGAAAATATATTTAATGAAATAATTCTAGAAAAGTAATGTGGTTGCACAATGTAAGAATCATTTATCAGAAAACATCTTATGATTTTTGTAACAGGATAACTTACTTGCCCCTTTCAAATGCCAAGGCATCTATTTCATCAAAGAAAAGAACTGAAGGAGACACCGCTCTGGCTTTCCTAAATATCTAGAAAAATAACAACAAAACACTGAGTTCTAGGGAATGGAAAACTTTTTACAGAATACTATCACCCTGTGCACACCTCAAAAGCTACAGAGCATCACAAACCAGACATAAGCCTTGTTGTCTTTTATAAAAGAACAAAAGAACAGATGTTTCAGAAGTTATTCATGATACTGCCCAATGCAGACATACAGTTAAGCTGCTACTGGATCCCAAATTCAACATTCATCACTAGGCCAACACAGGACAAAGTTAAACAACACAAAACATCCCTTCTGCTTCTTTTCTTTTTCAAATTTAAACCATAAGAAGTTGGGCTTTTTTAAAGTTTAAAGGTAACTTTATAAGCAGAGAAGAATTTCAAAGTCAAGAATGTTTAACATATAGTATTACGTATGCTTTGCCCCTTCTCACCTCTCTCACTGCTCGTTCAGATTCACCAACATATTTATTCATCAGCTCAGGTCCCTGCAAAGTTAAAAAAAATGGAAAATATAAAATTCCACATTACATTTATCAATAAAATGACTGAGACATCTGCCAGTGCTACATTACCGATGTGCTGTTACAAGGAATTTTGATAATTTGTCACTTGCAAGTCCTATTTGTGTATTTTTAGACTTACCTTCTACCTGTACCAAGTGCTCCTCCATTTGTTATGGCACTGTGCATGCCTGTAACTATGCATGTAAGTTAGTCTTATCGTAATACTTTCCTAGTCCTTTCATAAGAAACTGAATTACCAAAAACCAAACACACACACAGAGAATTTGGGGCTCTTAAAAGTTGTTGGCTCAACAACAGTAACAAGGTAAATCAGGCAGAAAGAGGAACCACCAAAAAGTGCTTACTTGCACTCTCAACATATATCCTGCCCAGCTAAGCACCAAAACAGTGACTTAAACCAATGTTTAACAGCATTTCTTTGAACTTGACATTTTGCAGGCCCAGAAAGAAGCTGCCACCATCCCAGCACACCCAACACCCATCCATGAGGATCTCGGTCCATCCCCAGTAAGAAAGCTGCTCAGTGTCTGCAGACCACAGGGTTAGTGTTCAGGCCTTGAGCAAGTATTTACAATTATTAAAAAGAAAAACAATGGAGAATTCTTGGAGTACTTTCTGTCCTGCTATACCCTGTAGGATAGGCTGCTTAAATAATGCTTCCTCATGGGACTAAGAGTCTCCTGGGACTGGTAATGACTCATTGAGTTCAGCCTGGTTTGCATCAAACATGCCCTGCAGCCACAACGACTGACAATTATCTGTGCCATGAACAAAAAGAGCCAGTGGCTTCAATCTGTTTTCCAGGGAACAGGTGTCCTCATGGTTTCACCAGCAGAAACTACACCCTTCTTCGCAGTCAGAAAACCCAACACTTCCCATGTTTCACAGCTGCAAGTACCTTCAAGTAACAAGGGGCAGAGCAGTAAGGCAGCTTTAAACAGCAGGCATGTTAGAATCAAGACTATGGCAAATGTACATTTATACACCGGCAGTGACAGAGCTTCTGTTACAACCCCTCTGTAATGGGGACATCTGGTCTTTGTACCCAGATCAGAAGAATACAGATTCGCTATTCTGAAAATACAGCACACTGTTTTTTGCAGTCTCCTCTCTCCATACTGATTTTCACTCTTACAATAACAGTTAATGGACTGACTTATCTTGATACTGGCACCACTGGAAAGTACCTGTGCATATGTATGGGAAAAAGCACAAGTCATCTGATATCAGCAAAGCATCCAGGCTAGGCCACTATTTTTATTTATTTTCAAAGACTTGTCCATTATCCACAGGACCAGGCAAGATACTGCAGCAGCCAGACCTATAGTACCACACAGGTAAAAACAATTGTTTTAAGCCTTGGAAAAGCAGCACTGCATGCCTCGCCCATAGGAAATGTAAATGAAACAACTAGCATTGCTTCCTTTCATCAACATCCATCCTTACAGCAACTGCTGCAGTAGCTGAAGCGTCACCTGCAGGCTTTCAACAACTTCAGAATTCGAGTCTGTTGGATACTTGCATGAAACAGAATTATTCATATATATAACTAATGGATGCAGGAAAGAAAGAGAGAAGAAGAAAAAAACAAAGTAAGAGAGAGAAACACAAAGTCCTTTTCTACTACCCACTGTGGACGCTAAACATGAGGAAAATAAAGCATTAGTGCAGAACAGGCTTGCAGCTTAAGAGACAGCATCTAGCTGCTCCCGGCCCTGGCCATTCATCAGGTTTAGTGCAGATGAAGAATCAAATAGCATGGACCTAACAAAACCTTCAGAAACAAGGGCACAGTCTTCCTGTCTAGCTATCTGTTAAACTGAGATGACAGACCAGCAAACCTCTGCAGATCCTACCCACAATAACAGATTTTACTTTTTCTGTGGACCTTTTCCTTCATGTTCTTATTCTCCTAAGTAATTTTTATTCACATCAGTATTCTCACGGAAAACAATACCATATACATATCAGTGCCAACAGTGTACTCCTTCAGTATGACACAACATCAAATAGCCTGATATTTTCTTTTGCCTGAGTAAAAACAATTGCTTAAAACCAAAACCACTCTCTTTAAGCTTTAAGGTACAATATAATTTCAGATGCTTGGAGTTTTATTTTTAATTAAGCATTAAAATATGACCAAGGCAACATCAAAGCAATAACTACTGTTTAAAATGTTTCCAATGAGAATTATTTTGAATATATGGTTTTGCTGTAAGCTTTGACATGAAGTTTTGACTCCATGAAGTAATGACCTGTGCTTCTTCATGGGGAATTTTTGCAAAAACCAATTTGATGGTCTCCTTGTTCACCACTCATGAGTGACACCAAAACGGCCATTGAGGACCATGTATTTTATTACAAGTGGCTTGGAGCTCTTGTTACATATTGCAATAAAGGGAAAGACTTCAAATTAAGAGAAAGCACGCACAAAAGAGGAGGAATCCATATACATTTCATCTCATGCAAACACTTAAAACCACAACACAAAACCTTGAAATGTTCAAAGAAGCTGGATGTAGCAATTAAACTGGGTTAGCTCTGGTCCCTCCTGAGCTGAACCTCTGCCTTACCCTGTCTGCAAATGGACTGTCCTTTAGCAAAGACTGATGGCCATTCTTCCAAAAGACAGAACTGTACGGGCAGCAGTGCATAGGCTGTTGCAGAGTCACCTGCTGACAGCTGACACTGCTTCTAATTTTCACAAAGCTCACCTTCTTGTTTTAAGAAGGTTTCTTGGAAGTTGAAGGCCACTCAAAAAACACTGGGGTGGGGGGATTATTATTTTTCAATGCTAAACTAGTCAGTAAGTTGCCATTTGTCGAAACATCATTTTTTGGCACAGAGGTGAGCATACTGCCTTTAAAAGCTGTTTATAGTTGTGGATATACTGACCAAGAGGTGCTTGTAACAAATGGTCCAGTCTAATGATACATAGCATCTGCAACAACCCATCTTTCATACAAAGGGATGTGAAGAATTAAAACCTGTTCTTTCTGGTCATTTGCACAATGACTCCAAAATCAGATAAAGACCTGAAGCAGGAAATTGGCAGAAGTAGTTGTAGCTTAGCCATGTGAGACTAATAGTATAAAAACTGCCAATTTGGCCCACTCTACACTGTTGAGTTTTATTTCTCCAACTTGAAAAGTAGAAATAGTTCCCAGGTATGATGTTTAAACACTATCCCATCCTCATTTACAAGAAATGCTTCCCTTATATGATGAAAACTTCCACTTGTTTATGGTCTGTATTAATGCCTGTTTTATTTTTTTTTTTATAAAAAAGCATGAATAAAAGAAAATTCCTTATATTTAAAATATGATCAGAATAAGCTCTCTAACTCCACAAAAATAAGATCCTTGTATACAGGCTGCCACATAAGCTTGTGTACACATGGTTATGACAGAAGTTCTCAGGGTGTTCTTCAACTAAAAGAAGAACATCTGGTTATCCCTGAAGTTGGAGTATCAGTAGTTTTTCTAAGCAGTGCTTAAAACCACTTGCAAATTTTTTCCACATGAAAATGCAAGGGTAGCGACTTTCAATATAACAGAAATCTAGTTGGTGACATCCCTCTGTATACAATTTCTTTACTATTTTGACAATCAGGTAAGCTACACACTGAAGTTTGTTGAGCTAGATGGACACAGCTCCAGATTTCTTCAGCATACAGCCCTGCATGCTCTCTTCAAAAATAATGCCATTCAAACACATGCAAGGTTCTGGGCTCTAACACAGACGCACTGAGCCATTTTAGCTACAGAAACAGTTCATATTTTTAAAAATCCAATTAATTAGAGAATTTATAGCACATCCTACAGATTATTACTCTACAACAGAAAACACGCAATTCCTTCTTTGTCACGTGCAAAGTAGAAGTGATCAAACAGACATTAAAATATCAGCCATAACCATAGAATCACAGAATGGTTTGGGTTGGAAGGGACCTTAAAGCTCATCCAGTTCCACCTCCCTGCCACAGGCAGGGACACCTTCCACTAGACTAGGTGGCTCCAAGCTCCATCCAACCTGGGGTGGAGCACTGCCAGGGATGGGGCAGCAGCAGCTTCTCTGGGCAACCTGTGCCAGGGCCTCACCACCCTCACAGGGAAGAATTTCTCCCTAATAGCTAATCTAAATCTCCCTTATGTCAGTTTAAAGCCATTCCCCCTTGTCCTGTCACTACATGCCCTTGTAAAATGTCACCCTCCAGATTTCTTGTAGCCCCACCTAAGTACTGGAAAGCTGCTCTAAGGTCTCCCCTGAGCCTCCTCTTCTCCAGATTAAGAGTTCATTAAAGTATCCCAAATTGTTATCCTTTGTTAAAAATGTTAAACAAATTTTCAAATACAGTTAGTTTTACTATCTGCAATTAACTCACAAGTTACTATGAATGTGTTACTGTGGATCTTTTGGGAAATTTCATCAAACATTTGCCAGAGTTTCTCATAAAACCACAATGCTTCTTCATTTTTCATCTTAAACTAGCTACAGGCACCAAGTTTTCTTATTTCATGCTTCTGCCCACTGAAATCCCCACCAAAAGGCTAAAGTATCTTCCCAAAACTCAATGACAGTTCTTCACAAAGCAAAACAGTTGGCTTTTCCAAGTCTCATTAATCTGTTTGATCTGCCACAGCCAAGAGCTGAAGGAAAAAGCAGAGGAAACTTCAATAGGAAAATATTTTGACATAATTGACCCAGATGACAAACTAAGCTTAGGCACATGTTAAGCACAGAGAGTGGTACAAAAGCATCAGCAGGGTGATACAGGAATAGGGGAAGTTAAATCAAGCCAAGGTGAAGTCAGAGCTTTGAGAACAGTGTGTATTTTTGCAATTACTGCTAATTGAAAAAATAAAAGATTCCTTCAGCCCAAGCTCTTCATTAACAGCAAATAAAATGTCAGGAATATTTTCTACCTTCAGGGAAAAAAAAAAACCAACAAAAAACCCCTA